CAGGTTACATTTAAATTTCTCACACTAACACAGCCACCTTGCGCTCCTCACTGTTTGCGCCGATGTGTGTGTGTTGAACACCCGGCGCCTTCGCCAGCGCCAACACTCTTTCTCGGTTGCGCCGGTCACGCTCTCTCCACAGCTACGAGCTCTCTCCCTTGCACCAGGCACGGTTTATCCTTGTAAACTCGACCTTCGCAAGAGTGTGCTCGGCTTCCGAGTCGCACGCTCTTGGTTAGTCATTAGCCGTTGCTGCTGCTGGTCCTGTGCGATGTTTGCTTGGTCGACGCTTGGTGCTTTCCGCCCTTTCTCCAGGTTGATTGCTTGTCGTTGCTCGTCACTCTTTCCCTCTCTTTCTCTCTTGCTGCAGCTGCTGGTGGGAGCTAGCACTCAATGTAGAATAAAACTTTTAGCGATAATTCGTCTGTCAGTGCCGAACTCACACTCGGCGACACATCACTCCTCTGCAAGCCTCGTCATCCATGGTCAATTGCAGGGCCCATCCCCGGAGCTTGCCGCAGCTAGACTGATGTGCGTGGTTTCTGCTCGTCGTTATATTCGAAAATCTCCCACCTCGGCTCGCCTCCTCACAAAGGGGCAGCTGTTTGTCCGGGTGCATGTGTGTCTGTTCTAATTTGTTGAAGTAATCTGTTGAGTCACATCAGGGCCTGGTTCCTGCCCCCTTCAGCCATCTCGCCATCTGTGGAAACAGATGTTTTCAATTGCCCCTAAGTGTGTTTTACTAGTTTTTCAACTTTATGCAATAAGTAATCATGAAGGAGGGGGGGGGTTACAATGTTTTTTTCACGCAGAGGGGCGCTGCAGCCTTTGAAGTCGTGGCCTCTTGTGCACGGGTTGGAAGTTAAACAATGATTTTACACCTCTCAAAGCTTGGTACCGTATCACTTTCCGAAGTTTTGACTCTGCAAGTTACTCAAAGTATGTTTTGAGCAGTCTTTTACAGCACTCATGTCGCGGTTTGGAGTCCTTGCGTGGTGTTTGATATATTAAGGGGAGTCGCCCCCCCCTGCAAACATAATTTATTGCTACCATGTGCTGTGTTAGCTGATGGAAGACAAAGGTGGTTGGTGAGGCTCTGATCCAATGGAATACATATTATCTTGGTCGTGTGTGATAGACCTATTTCGCCTTGTATCTCTTCTGAATGACCCTAGGTCTAATGCTTCATAATTACCAGTTGGTTTATGCTTCAAGATTTGTGATATACCATAGTTGTTACCACAAGTATTCCGAGGGTTTTATTAACCTTTGTTCCCCGTCTGTATCGCCAGGGATCCGTGCTTCTTATTCTCGAGTTATATTTTTATATCCTGAGGTTGGAGATCTAGCTAAATTTTGACTTAAAACTTTCGTGACTGCAGGAATTCATATTCTTTGGTTATTTCGGTAAAGTCACGTAGATAGAAAGTAAAAAATAAATTAATAATTTTCAAATAGAAGCAAAAAAACGCGAAAGAACCAAGAATATGAATATTTTACACAAGGGGTAGCGGCCCCTTCGCCCGATACCTGGGGAGGTACGGCCTCCGGACTACACGGGCCTAATACTGGGACCCCGCTAATCCCCAGTCCTCCGGCTAGGGGCCCTAGGGGAGGGTATGCTGACCCGACCGTGCCAGGGTCTTCGGGTCCTGACCATTAGCCTCACTCAGCTCCGGCCCTTAGAAGGACAGCAAAGCTTGGGGTCCAGGGCCCATAAACAGGTCCGGGGCTTGCTACGCCTTCCTTCCAGAACCTTCCACCAGGTCCTAGAAGGGTGACGTCATCCCCCAGTCCCCCCTCCCGGGATTTGGGGACTGTGTCCCAGGATCCGTTATCCCAGAGATCACAATTGCCCCTTTGGCCATAGTCCTTTAACATTGGCGTAGTCACTCTTCCGCTTCCTGTTGACCCAATAGTGATGCTACCCGCTGACAACATGGGGAGTGCGGAATAACACCTCTACATAAATATTAGCTCTTGAAAAAAAAGCAAATTACATAAAAAAAAAGTTACGTGTAATTTTACGAATTTATGCCAATTGATATAATTATGTAAATTAAGAATGTATGCTAATTCGGCTCTGCTTCGTTGTCTAGGGTTATTACCAATCGTTATAATAAAATGAAGGTGTAATTGTATGAAGTTATGCAAGTGTATGTAATTATGCTCGGCTTCGTTGTCTAGGGGTATATTACCAATCGTGATTATACAATGATTCTTGCTTGAACTTTTATTGATTATGTTTTAGTGTGTTGTCAGGTCTCAAAATTCAGATACAGTTCTTATAATTAAGATTATGCATTAACTTAGGAAGGACTCACTTAGTCTTCTGTGTTAAGCAATTTTAATATCTAAAAACACTCCAATATGCGAACACTTTATGCTCGGCTTTGTCAACACAGTACTCCCGGAGATGTCATACTCATTGATCCGTACAATTAACCCTCAATGGTTACGTTTGTTAAACTGAGCACAGAACAATCGGCTATTCTCTCAGAGTCGAGCGAGCATACACAGCGATAGGAAAAAATCATTTTAAAAAATTGTAACAATATTCATACTAACAGTAAGAAAGAAACATGTGCCTAAGGCAAAAGTAGTTATCAGTATGCAATTAACGAAATGCCCTGGCACAATAGTGTGCGGCAGTGAACCTGTTTGCCTATAAGATGCTTATCAGTTGGCAAATGGGCTTCAATGAATTCGGGGGCAAGATTCTGTAATAAATAAAAAAAATCTCAACACAATAGCATTCCTGTGAGTGTGTGGATTCGTAACATCGATGCGTATAAACATCGATGCGTATAAATACTTCTAAACGACCGTATTCATGCAGCTCAATGGCCCGATTTTGTTTCACGATCAGCTAATATTAACGCACCATCTTAGGATGGTCACCCTTTTTGAAACGCAAAAAAACTTTTGGAGCAATCATATTAGTCCCGATATGCGTGTTATGCGTGTCTTCTGGCCACTTGTCGATTTAACGGCCTACGCGGTACAGCGTTCCTTGTACCGAATACCTCTGGTTCCCAGCAGGGCTGCTGGGACGGCATGTGTGCATGTCTGTTGAACACACGCGCCCTCTCTCTCTTGGTGGCAGCTCCAGGCTTCTCCACTGCTGGATGGTTGTTGACTTGGCACGAAGATCGCCTTTGGCGGTGCCCGATAGCGTTTGCAGCTCGTTCGCCGGTCGCTGCTCTTCACACTTGTCTCGGTTCTGTCGATGTCTGTGTGTCGAACACCCGGCGCCTTCGCCAGTCCCGACACTCTTTCTCGGTTGCGCCGGTCATGCTCTCTCCCATGCTCCATACTGTCTCCCTTGCACCAGGCACGATTGATCCTTGCAGACTCGACCTTTGCAGGAGTGTGCTCGGCTTCCGAGTCCGCACGCTCGTGGTTAGGCATTAGCCGCTGCTGCTGCTGGTCCTGTGCGATGCTCGCTTGGAAGACGCTTGGTGCTTTCCGCCCTTTCTCCAGGTTGATTGCTTGTCGTTGCTCGTCACTCTCTCTTTCTCTCTTGCTGCAGCTTCTGGTGGGAGCTGGCACTCAATTTAGAAAACAACTTTAGCGCTACTTCGTCTGTCAGTGCCGCTCACACTCGGCAACACATCGCTCCTCTGCAAGCCTCATCATCCATGGTCGATTGCAGAGCCCACCCCCGGAGTTTGCCGCAGCTAGACTGATGTGCGTGGTTTCTGCTCGTTATATTCGAAAATCTCCCACCTCGGTTCGCCTCCTCACAAAGGGGCAGCTGTTTGTCCGGGTGTGCGTTTGTCGGTTCTAATTTATTGAAGTAATCTGTTAAGTCACATCAAGGCCTGGTTCCTGCCCCCTTCCTCCAGCCATCTCGCCATTTGTGGAAACAGATGCCTTCAATTGCCCCTAAGTGTGTTTTACTAGTTTTTCAACTTTATGCAACAATTATGGAGGGAGCGGGGTTACAATGTCTTTTTCACGCAGAGGATCGCTGTGGCCTTTGAAGTCGTCGCCTCTTGTGCACGGGTTGGAAGTTAAACAATTATTTCACACCTCTTATAGCTTGGTACCGTATCACTTTCCACAGTTTTGACTCTGCAAGTGACTCAAAGTATGTTTTGAGCAGTCTTTTACAGCACTCACGTCGCGGTTTGGAGTCCTTGCGTGGTGTTTGATATATTAAGGGGAGTCGTCTCCCCTTGCAAAATAATTTATTGCTACCATGTGCTGTGTTAGCTGATGGAAGACAAAGGCGATTGATGATGCTCTGATCCTATGAAATACATATTATCTTGGTCGTGTGTGATAGACCTATTTCGCCTTGTATCTCTTCTGAATGACCCTAGGTCTAATGCTTCATAATTACCAGTTGGTTTATGCTTCAAGATTTGTGATATACCATAGTTGTTACCACAGGTATTCCGAGGGTTTTATTAACCTTTTGTTCCCCATCTGTATCGCCAGGGATCCGTGCTTCTTATTATCGAGTTATATTTTTATATCCTGAGGTTGAAGATATAGCTAAGTTTTGACTTAAAACTTTCGTGACTGCAGGAATCCATACTCTTTAGTTCTTTCGGTAAAGTCACGTAGATAGAAGAATAAAAATAATACAAAGTGAACAAAAAAACTAATGTAGACTGTATCCTGGTTTTTAAGCTTGGTGAGCGTGTTGGAAGTATATAATGTCGACTTATTCTTATGGCTAAGCTTCGAACTTTTACTGTTGTATTAAAAAAAGGAAAAACGCCAGTTGTAATGTCCGACCGCCCCGACAGCTCTCGCCGTCCAGGGAGATCCGTGGCCCCTGATATTTGTGCATGTTTTTATGGCATTTCCCACAGAATCTCATTAGCCCCCCCCCCCTCTGCACCTGTTTTTTATAATTACATTTTATGACTACTTCCTCCGGCTGCCTTTTGTGTGGCGAGGCAAGAGGCAGCGGGGTGTGAGAGGTGAGGGGTGACTTGCCTTTTCGTGCACCAGTTTTACATCCAGATCAAACTTATAAAAATAGGCAGAATCATTCTTAATATATTTTTTTTTAAAAGGAATATATACAACAAATGCCCTCGAACAAAGTATCATGCAAGTTTACCTTTGCATTCCTTATAATTTTGTGGACCAGATAATGTTTAAGCTGTTTCTATCAAGGATTTCCCGTGAGTACAGTTGGTGTGCAAATAACAACAAAGCAAGCGGATGACCAGAAAGGGTAATGCTAGTTGAGAGGTACAGATTTAAAAGTATAAACATTTTGGATTTGGGTGACACGGTGTGAAAATCGTAGTTCAGGAATAGGGTTGTGACAAATTATGCATTGAGACCAGGGATCGTGTAAAACAAGGCGGAACACACCTGGCTCGAAAGAGCTCATGGATTTAGTGACATGGTGTAAACAGCTAAGTTAACAGCACGGATCAAAATAAGTTAAACTATGAATTTCAGTGAAATATTAAATAAAGCAGAGACCATCAAGAGCAGCACAAGTACGCAAGTAATAATGGGATACTATAAACATATATTATGGCCTCTTAGGTTACTTGCTCGCCTGGGATCAAACTGCCTGACACCTCTCATCACACGGATGTGTACATGGGCACAAACTATCCAGATTGTCTTGGGTCGGGCCGAACCGACTGGTGTGTGGCTCTGGGTGTCTTGACACCGTTTTGGTTTGTGTGCCACTCTGACTGCACGTGACTGCAGAGCTGCCCAACAAACAGCCGTCCACATTGATGATTCTCCCTCACGAGAAATTAAAGTTCGAGTGAGAAAGCTGATTGCCAATAAAGTTGTTAAGTGGCTTGGATATTACCCTTTGATAGCAAAATGCAAGACGTTACTAGCTCTGGTCACATCCACAGAAAACCTAATACAAGGAAATTCACTCGAAGCTATGCATCCAAGGCACCCCCAACCATAGATAAACACCATTCTGTCCACAATGGGCCCAAACATTTCAAAGTCTTCTAAAGACCATCTTAGCAGTGCCAGACAATTAGCATCACACTGCACCCCTGGACTTGTGGCGCATCTACAAGGGATGTTCAGTGAGTGCGTACTTGTTAAGCCATGTGACAGCATCCTCGGTCATATGTAGGTTTCCTAAACCTCAGTGGACAGTGATCAACAATATGCGAAATTGCTTGTAGTGTCACAGCTGCGGGTTGTCATGAAGACCCCAACGATGGAGGTTGCCTGTCCGGAACCTGTTCAGCAAGGCCCACTGATGGTGTAGCAGGGATGTGAAAGCCACTCTCTGGCTTAATCAAGTGAAAATGAGTGAAAAAACAACTGAAGACTCTTATTAATGAAATATGTAGATTCTGTAGCTAATGTTACGTTTCATAATTAATTTTTGGGGTATGCCATGTAATGATCTGGCCAACGTTGTGTCTTGAGGAGCCTCCACCAAACAGTCAAACAATTTGTCACGTGTACAAGCGTATCACTCTTCAATTATTATTTTTCAACTCACTCCTAAGTGTTAGCTCAATTCTCATAACTAAATGTAGAAATAAAATTTGACCCTTTCGACAGTGCAGTTATATATTAGGTGACCCTCCAAGTTCCTGTATATACAGGAATTCAGAATTATGACTTACTGAAATTTATTCTGAATTCCTGATTACCATTATTGACGTAATTTTAAGGGAAATATCGTATTCAATTACTAAACCTTGGTTGAGAATTGTTCTTCAACTCACCAGTAAGCTGAAACAATAATCTGCACGTTAAAGCATGTACACCACCTGACAATTTAATTTGCTTGGCCATGCCAAGTGGTGGTAGATATTAGCAACACAAATTTGGCAAGATATGTATGTGGCCTAACTTAAAAATAAATTATAGTTTTTAGTAATATTAGTGATCAGAATAAAACTTTAGGCAATAGAGCCATTGAACGACGACTGGACAATGGAGACGTTGAGTGGAATGGATGAAAGAGCTGGAGCATGTGGGTGTGAATAAAGAAGTTAAAAAGGTGTGTGTCATGTGGAACAAACAACAGCAATGCAGTAATCGATTAGGTGGCAATGCAAGTGCCTGTGGATTATGATAGATGAAGAAAATCAGATATTAAAAGCCTGTAGCTCAAAAATAATGTTTTTCTAAATATTCTGGATCTCACAGCAACAGTTTTTTTACGTGTTACCTCTGACAATGAAGCTGCATATTTCTCTAAGGCGTTAGTACGGTCCTCAGAATTCCATGGCTGCAACTTGGAGGTCTCACATCCTTTGTTCCACTTCCAGCTGGGGCATGTTTTCCATGATAACCTGTAGAAGGTTTTTGTTGATCCTATCCAGCCTGGCCTTGATCTTCTGGAGCATGTTTACTTGGACAAGCTTCTCGGAATAAAGGTTAAAGAGGCCACCAGGGCACTGGTTGTAGCGTTTGAGCACTGGGAACAGGTTGTCGAGATAAACGTTTCCAATGAAGAAGTGCTTCAGCTCTTTCTTCTCCAAGTCCTTTAGGAGGCGCCTCAAAAAGCGGTGGATCAGTGATTCCAAGTCTTCCTCTACCCAATGATTTGCAGCACCTCCCTTTGCTAGGACCTGGAGGTCCTCAAGAAGCATATGAAAGAGGGTGGTTTTCATGAAGTAGGAGTGGAAATTGGAAGTCAAAGGCGAGTTAGCTTGGATCGTGCTATCGAGGTTTACAATTAACTTGACAGTCGTTAGACATTCTCTGTACTTGGAGCCACAAGGGAGATTGCTATCGATGTGTTGAAGAAAGGCTGCCTCGTATGATGAAAACGACAGCCTCCAAATATGATTTCCTGTTATCTGATGTGCTTTGTACTTGCATTCCTTGGCCACTAAGTAGACCTGTGGGGTCTCTTTAGACAGCATGGTAAGTGCTGCTGCTGGCACTTCGTGGTAAAGGCTGTGAGTGGCACAATTCATGACCTTAATGGCTGGCACGATGTCTACTGATATCAGTTGATCGTATCTGTTTTTGATGGTAAGGCAGGTGGAAGCATTGTTGTGTAAGAAAGTTAGTTTATAGGATGCTGACCATTTTTTTACAATCTGCACTTTTGCTTCATCAACGAGATGCTGGAACCATTTCTTAAATTTCTGAAAATTAATCATGTTTACACCATGTATAATGTCTGTAAAGTTCTTGGTTGTTTCTGGAATGCGATGACCATCATCAGAAATAACCTTCACAATGCCAAATCCAAGTGCATCTGCATTAAAGTCCTTATCCTCATGACAGAGATGAGTATAAAAGTGGAGACCATTAGGAGGTTCCAGAGGGAAAATAAACTCAAACTCATTTGGAGGAAAGACTTTGAGCTTTTCATTAACACTTCCACTTAAGAACATTTGTTGTCCTAGCTTGGGGCAGCCATCATTTTTCGGAAGATTTACCATCGCACACAAGAGATCGCAAAGGATTGCTTTGATTATCACCATTACACCATGAAGTGTCTCCTCGGGTATTCTGACTTTTGTGTTGTAGAAGTGATCAAAGAGTAGAGAGGACAATGAGGGTGCCATGCCAATTGGAGAAACTGTAAATGACTCCAGCTGAGGTTTCCAAAAATATTGTGCAGGCATGTGTGTGGGATGAGGAGGTGACCTTGAGCGTATAACAAGCTTTGAGGAAGTCTCCATTACCTTCATCTTGTGCTGTAACTGCAGTGTTTGTTGGACACTTGCAGAAAGTTTCAGAGCCTGCTGGTTTAGTTTCTTCGAGTGTTCCCTTGTAACCACGGCGAGTTGTTCCTGATGTTTCAACAAAATATCCTCATGGTTTTTCCTCAAAGCTTCGTTCATCTCGCGTTGATGAACCCGTGAAAGCTCTTCATTCACGTGTTTAATTATTTCATTTGTTTCACGTTGGAGGCTCTGTGAGAAGTCCACCTGAGTTCTCTTTATGACTTCGGTTATCTTGAGTTGCTGCGTTTGTGAAAGCTGATTGCATGATTTTTTTATAACTTCAGTCATATCTTGCTTATGGGTATGCGACAGCTCCTCGCGTTTAAATTCTTCTCTCTGGCGGGCCCTTAAATCTGCATTTAGCTCCCGCTGGTGGGCCTGTATGAGGCTTTCACGGGTTGTGTTTACAGCCTCTTTTATCTCACGCTGATGGGCCTCTGTGAGCATTGAGTGGATTTTTGAGGCTTTGCCCTTCATTTCCTCATTGGCATTTATGAGATTAGTCATGCACACCAACATAATCACTAAGACTACAGCCAATAGCACCACCATGAACGCCATCCTCTTCCTGACAAACGTCCAAAAGTCCTGTGAAATAAAACCACGGATATTAGGGGCACTTTCATGATATTGTTTAAACTCTTGTAATATGCATGTCTGGAGTTATACAGGTTTTACTCATAACAGCACTTGAGCAACACAAATTCTAAAAACTAAGCGTAAACCGAGTGATGAAGTAAAATTTTCAAGTTAAAATAGTCATAACTTTAATTACTTTTAAAAGTTCAAAAAGTGGTTGTGTATCTTTTGTGCTCAAATATTGATTACGTAATTTGCAAAACAGTTGTGTGACCTTGCCTGTGTGAAGACACTTTCTGACACTGTTGTCCAAATGTCACGACTGCCTCTGTAAAGGAGAAATTCTCAGCAGCTTTATCTATTTCCAAAACATCTCATATGCTAAACAATGCAGTTGTATAAATTAGGCTGCACGAAATTAAACACACAACTGTACCGTGCGACCGAGCTCCTGAAAGTCATGATTATTTCAAACCCAAAGGCAGTAGTGTACTACTTGTGTAAATAAATTGCTAGTGTTATGTAAGACCCTCATGAATAGGTGCTGCATTGTTTCTGGCACTGAAGCTGCAATATTTAAACATTTCAAACAATCTATTGGTGTACGATATTCATATGGCAGTCGCCAACGCACAAACTGCATACATGTGTAATGGGTTCCGGAGACACTCGTAGAGGCGACTTCTTTATTACGATACAGTACATACACAGTCCTTATACAGGCCAGGGACACAGCCTACTTCTAGCATGCCTGACACTGGCTACGCTGTCGGGTCCTCCGGCTATGATTACCCTAGGGGAGGCTACCTGACCCGACCCAGCCGAGGTGCGGGTGTAGACCTCTGGTTTCCTCGGACCTCGCCCTTACAAGGGCGTCGGGCAGGGAGTCCCAGGGTTCCACCACTGGCCCACACAGCGTCCCGGCCCTTACAAGGACAGTGGGGCGAGGGGGTCCAGGGTCCTAAGCTGGCTGGTCTTGATTCTTCGGCTGCGACTGGTCTCGAGCTTCTCGGGAGGTCCCCTTTTATGCCCCTTACCCATCGAGGGGCGGGGCTGCGTGGGATCTCAGATTCCCCGCAGCCCCCACCCCTCCTGCACCGAGGGGCGGGGCTGCGTGGGATCCTGTGACACCCCGCAGCCCCCTCCCGCTGAGAGGGCAACTCGGCGACTCCCCTGCCGGTACAAGGTGCCGCCCGCAGATGGGCCCCGTCCACCCCTGCCGGTGAGTGCGGCCCATCTACGGCACTACACATGTGATCTCCAAGTGCCAGCCAAAGAAAAAACTATGATTCTAGCTTTGGTTTTATTGGCGCGACATGACCCTTCCATCTTCAGTGTTTTTAATCTCTGGGCTAGGCGCCCCTGGGATTTAGAAGGCCTCCCAGCCTCCAGAGGATTCAAGCCGAGGTTGACTTCAGAAAGAGCCAGGAAAGGAGGCTGAGACTGGACCTGGAGATGGTGGCCCCTGGGCTGGAGAGGAACATTCTAGAACTGATCCTGGAGGGGGCTAAAAGCAGGCTAGAACCTGCTGAGGTTGCCACAAACAGTGGCCAGGCCCCTTTAAGTGGCCGAGACAAGGGACAGCAAAAGAAGGAAAGCTAATATCGTGATCCTGATGACCTATGAGGAAATGGAGCTGGTGGTGACATCCGTGTTTTACATGTGTAGTGGGTTCTACAAAGGCACACACTTGAACTTGAAGGTAACACGTTTATTACACAACCCCAACAGGGTAACTACATAATGTAACAACGGTTAACTATACCACGAAGGGGTAACTACAGAACTGGGTCATTCAGCCAACACACTGCCTGACCCACGATGCCAAACGTAATGACCGAAGACTGAAGACCGAGGATCGAAGAGACTAGCATCGACGGGTTCCATTCCAGCAGACAGCCACGACTGCTCTCAGGACCTCCCTTTTATGCTCCCGAGCGTGGCCTCGCTTCGCCTTCGGCCACACCCCCTTCTGGATCTCACCAGAAAGTTCTAGACTGAGCATCACGTCTCCCTCAAGCCACCCTTTGGGCCCCCTCCCTACCCTGTCCCGGTCACGTGCCCTCTCGGGTTCACCCAAGACTGTCACATCCTTACTTGCCCTCTCTCTGTCACCGGAACCATGCCCCCTAGGGCCCGCTTCGATGCCATACCTACTCTAGTGCCAGAGAGAGGCTCAAGATGCACAGTTCGACTCTTGTGACAATAACTGGCGCTAATTGCCAGTGACTCCATTTACGTCACTACACGTGGGTTAACTGGAATGATTGAACAATGTCATCTCGGGTGGTGACCAGGATAACTCTGGCAGAGGACACTCAGGGTGCCACAATGAAAACCTCCCTGACCCAGTTTCCATTCGAGGGGAGGTTGCTGTTTGTTAAGGCAACAAATGGGGGTCTGAAGGAGCAATATAATGGAGCCTAAGGAGTGGGGAGAGAGTGCGGCTTTGAAGCTCGGGCCTTCCCCCACTTTTGAGAGGTTCTGTGGCTGGAATGGGACAAAGGAGCGGGCCGTCCACGTGCTCGGAGCCCAGAGGAGTGAAGAGGTCTTTGGCAACAGGATTTCCAGGGTTGAGAGAGAGTCGAGCTTAGCTGGAGAGTAAGGTCTTGGCTATACAATTAGTAGCGCTGGTGTTAGAAAGTGAGTTCTAAAGTTATAAGTAGCAGTAATTGTGTTAGTATACAAACTCCCTTTCAAATAATCTGCGTTGCCCATTTATTTTGTTGTTAACGGTTATTAATACCCTAATTAAGTCACTACAACAAAAGTTCAGAAGTTTCCTTCAAATGCTGCTTTATCCATCGAAAGTTATGCACTACAGCTGTGTGTGTCTCTCTGCTTATGTATTTGTGATAGTTGGTGGGCCTCTCCAAGGTCGACTCGGCCTGAAATGACACCTGGTGCGATGAGTAAACATTGCCACTGGGGAGAAAAAGGCGGCCGGGCGTTGTGTTGGCTACCCACCCCCTTGAGTATAGGTGAGGGGGTGGAGTATTTTACAACTGAATACCCAAACAGGTGCTTTGTTTGGTGGGGCTGATGGTAAGGCCCCATCTGTTCGTGGCACACTCCAGGTGCAGCAGTAGTCTCCAACTCCTCAGTGAACAGCAATTACCAGACCATCAGCATACGTAACATGGTTAACCAATAGGAAATCAGCCCTTTACCGCACCCAGGCATCAATTAGCCTTGTACTGTATCTGTACCAGATGGAAATTCCTTCTGTACGGCCATGAAAAGCTCAAATTATGTTTTTTTTAAACGTGCAGGGGCCCAAGGACATCCCTCTCACACCTCAAGGTGAACAACGCAGATTTACCCAGGCCTGCCGACCATCATGAAGGTTCTTAATGACTGTGAGCAGAGGGTCAGGAACCTCGACAGCCTGAAGAATAACCCAGGCTTATCTGTGGCATCATAGGCCTTGACCAGGTCTAAAAAAGCAAGCATGCCTACAAACACACAAGTGTAGCCTTGAACAGATTATTGGGGCAAGTTCTGTTAGTAAGCACCATGCCAGGTCGTCAGCCGTGAACGGGAATTGAACGTAGGTCGCTAAGTTTGCTAACCGCTACACTACCTCTCCCGACACACACATACACTGAAACTACTGTACAGATATACACAACACACACAGCCATAATTAAAAGATAATTACGTTGAGAATTAAGCAAGCACTCTTACCTGTATTGTTATGCTGGTGCTGTAGTTTGTTGTTGCTGATGGTTTGGTCAATGCAAAGGGGTCGCTGGCCGTGGCAACAAGAACAGGAACTGACAACAGCAGAGACCTGGACAGAAAGCATCGCATAGGGGTGTCTAAAGAGTTTTTATAAGTGAAATAATTGATTTCAATATTTATTGTAGACATTGATCAAAAGAAGAGGAAAGCAATTGATCGTCCAATGTGAATAGCATAGATCAACGCACGGCTAAACTGACGACACAGTGGCATCTCAACAGGGCCCTCAACGTGTAAATAACAGGGCTGTAGTCGTTCCCCTTAATTAAACAGAAGGTTAAAGAGTCCCACTGCACATGAAATATTTATTCTTTTACAAGAGCAACCTGGGTTACATCACTCAAAATTATTATTAGCGTCATGGAGAATACAACGAGCATACGAAATGGCAATATCTCATTCAGACTACACACAATATTTTAAAACATTTAAAACTTGAATCTAGCCTAAATGTAGCCTTAGTTTAATACACATTTAAATACACAAATAATTGAAAAGTAATTCCTGCAGTCACGAAAGCTCCAAATCAAGTTCAAATGAAAATGAACCCGATGACCACAGCACTGCACCAACACACCAAGATTGAACTCCCTGATCGCACTTCGCTTGCAGTGCCGCACGTGGGCGAGGCGCGCCCTTCAGTCGCAGCGCTTCTGCTGGAGGTCGCCACTCGTCGTCGTCTTCACAGCTCTACAATCATTCGCTGTACGCCGTTAACGTTACCCATGGATATAAACAAAAGCGCTGATAATGCTGTTGGTTCGGTTTTAAATACTCGAGGCTTCCTGGTGTCTGCCTCCACGTCACCTGAAGTTACCCAACAGTGCTGTCTCGCGCAGCTGGGTCTCCCGGTTTGACCGATTCGCATTGTTGACTCAACGCTCACTTCCTTGCACAGTCACACACACTGACAAGCCAGTAATGACGTGCAGGCATGCACAGCTCAAAGAGTCAAAGCGATGTCTTGCTTATATGAGCATTGCGAGACGATGCTTATCTTCCATTTACAGCCCTGAGTCAGAGGCGGAAATTCCACATTCCTATGGTGGGAAGGCGAGTCAATCCATAGGAAATCTACTGTTGACTACCCTATGAAGTGGTACTGACTTTATCAACCCTGATGAATGATGGGCTTGAGTAATCCCTCAACATCACAGCACAGTATGGTTTACAGATTGTAATGTTCTGCGTCACGGACTTTACTGCTAAGAGCTTTCAAATGCGCTTATACACACGAAGGTATGCAACTGGTAGTGGTTGTCTTAACCACAGACTACTCCACGCCAGCTCGCCGAGTATGGACGCATGCATTTTAAGCGCCACATTTAAATACATTTGAACCATGTAAGTTATTGCCTGTGGAGGACAAAACGCACTTCATTAAGTAGAAACCAACAACAACAGTTGGCAGCTGTTGGAAATGTACACGTATTTCCAAAGGGTTGTCGTGAGTGTATATTTGGAGTTTGCATGTGGTCACCTGGATTTTTTCTCCGGGTCCTCCGGGTTTCCCCTCCACATTTATAAACATTCATGGAGATTATTTAGATAATTTTACTGCAATTAATTTCCACTTAATAAGCCACTTTGTAGCGCTATCATTTGTGGCCGGTCGCTTCTGAAAAATACGTTAATCCTTCACTGAGCTTTGCCTGATAGGAGTGTAAGTTTTAAGATTCTTACCCGCCTCTACTGGACATCTGTGGAAAAGAGCTTTATAGCTCATCAGATTCCTCCAGTATAAATATTATGATTTGAGTTTGTGACAAGGCTGATCCCGTTTAGTCATTTTCTTGGCTATTTTACGAGGGAGATCGTGGTGCGTGTGCTCAGCAACAACAGACAAAAACATCAACATTGCAGAGAGCGAGTCCCAGGGTCCTTGAGATAAATTTCACAGCCAACAGATAAGGGGTGTTGCGGTCGGACATAAAACGCACAAATCAAAAATAAACAGACTCGGCGACCCGCGTTCGATTCCCGGTCATGGCCAACGTCGATGACGAATATCTGACCTGGTCCTGGGCCACCCCTAGATTGCCTCAGCCCTTCATGACTACATGGTGCCGTGTGTATATATCAACACTGGGGAGACAAAGGCGGCCAGGCATGATGCTGGCCAACCACCCCCTCAAGTGTCATATCAGCCCTCGTCAGTGCTTGCAAACAGAATCGTAGACTGGAGGAATCCGATGAGCTATGGAGATCTTTTTGGCAGATGTCCAGGAACAGAACTTGCCCCAAAAGCTTGTTTAGGATTTAGGGAGGATCTTTGTTTAAAAATAGACATCGTAGGCAAACACTGAGCATTGTTTGTATTGACAGGAGACAAGTACAATTGTTGGGAACCAATGTTTGAGTTTTAATATGGCTTAATAAGGCACGATGACAATACAATGATTATTGTGTGAACTAAAGTTTGTATAAAAAGGTACAAAAAAAACTAAATTAATATCCACTCTGGAAATAAAAATCATGCAGAATATTAGACATTAAATGTACAATTTTAAATTGTATACAATTCAAATTCAACAAAATGGCAATTTGACTCCAACAAAGAGGTATATTACTGTATTACATATAAACACTTTACAATTGCACCTTTGGCAACCACAAGGTTAAAATATAGACGTGAAAACTCCTGCAAGGGTACAATGCCAATTTTTTCAACATGCTCAATGACTACTGCAGCAAGGTGGTTTCATCACTCAACAAGCAGGAGATTGGGAGTTTAAATGTGCCAGATTCACTCGCCCCATCATCCCTCTGGGGTTGATAATTTCGTACCACTTTGTGGGAAGTCAAAAATTGTCGTCCTATGGAGAATGGGTCTCCACAAAATGTCATCTCCACTGCCGATTCGGGCCCCACCCAATGCTTGCTTGAGCAGAGTGACACTGACTCGACAGTTTTAAAAAGCAAGTGGGGTTGGGAACGAATGCCACATTTAGGTGCGGTCCGTGCAAATAGCCGACATTAAACGTCAACTCATTCCAGCATACGGGTGACGTGGCTCATTGCACCACCCTGCTGACATTTGAAAAGCTGATAATACTAAAGGCGGTATTTCTCAATAAGTGTTATTAAAATCCTAGTCATTCAATAGATATACAGTATTTGTTTATGCTAACATGGTTGTCGATGGTTTCATGAGCAGAGGTTGGCAGTGCTCACTCTGCACCTATCCATTTGGAATTGCCCAACCCACGAAGATGCCTAAGAATGTTATTTATTGAAGGTACAAAAAGCAGAATTGATGGTGAGCTTGGGGAGTTGTAGGATTATCAACCTCTGGCAATTCCACATACACTACAGTGTAATTTGCTATGGCAAACATCTCTTAAAAAAATTCACTCCAGTCAACACAACATACAAAATGTGTTTTTTGTCTCCTACACAATCAAGTTAACATTTTTCGATTAAATGTTTTGCAAACAAGTAAACTACATAACATGAACTTGTAACGCTACGCGGTTTTTGCTAAATCTCAGAGAACAGCTCAGAGGTGCAAGGAATCACGGAAAAGTGGGAAAGGTGGCCGTGTGGTGAGCCGCCCCCAAATTCTTCCCCGACCTGTGCGGTCCTCTATTTAAGGCGGTATTATCAGCCAATTAATGAGTGTTACACGTGAGAGGAATCTGGAATGCCTGGAACAAAAACTCACGCCTGCGAGAGAGAAACACTATCCCATACAAAAATAACAAGAGGGCCTACAATTCCTGCACTGCCTTCTGGCAAGCTAAGGTTATGGCACCTGGATGTGCACGAGGAGTTTCACAGCTTTTTGTGTGATCCACCAACTATCACTCAAAGTGCCAGGTTACAGGCACGCATACCCACCAGCGCCTAGCAAGCGTATGAAGTCATGGGCACAGCTCTAGCAGTAAGTCTTCCGCACTGCGACGTACATCTTGGGAATTAGCTGGGCAGTGGATTCCTGCTCCCCGAACACAACCCTTGCACCACGGAAGGCTCCTGTGTCCTGGGCCTCGCCTGCAGGAAAGCAGTTTGATGAACCACAGCTTCAATCGCAACCTCAAAGCCAAAGGGGATTCCAGCCACGTGAGGACTTGAGTCCTCAACGTGGACACAAGGACTGTATTGAAAACACTGGGCTGCAGTCCAAACATACATTTATAGCTATGCTTGTTTACCTAGAAAAGCCTGACCGAGTCTATAGACTCTTTTTCAGGAGGGTTCTGCCAAGTTTTTGCAAGTAGAGGAACAGTTTATCAACAGCTAGGCTAAATATCATTCCGACGAGGGGTCACCTATCTCCTACATGTATGGTGCGTGATAAATCACGCATCAGTGTACTAATTCACATTTTTTATGGAGTATGCATGTAACTTCAACTGACAACCAACCATATTTTGTTATTTAAAAAAAGGTAGTGCTTGTATAAATTTGCATTTCAGAATGTTCAAAGTTTCTGGCGTTTATCTAAAAATGCTGCAACCTTTTTACAAATATGTTAAGAATCAAAAATGTATTACAACCATCCCAAATTAATTGAGCCACCTAAAGCAGTGAATGATGAGTGCTGTTTCACACTTGCAATTGGCAAGCTTAAATTTTTGCAAGTACTGCAATGTGGTTATATTATAGAAAGAACCTCTCAGGATGTTTACAGTGCAACATCAGAGCTGTTAAAACATAAGAACACCAAGATACGTTTGATCTCAGCTCAGGTTTGTTTACTCGAAGGAATTCCTTGAGACCACGGCCATAGCCCTCCGACTGGTTGTCATAGGCAGAAGCCGGTACATGAACGAAATTTGCTTTAAGTGCTGGAAAACCTTAACAGAAATGTAATGAAGATGAACGTTCATATTTAATGCCCATGCATTCTTCAGTCCTACCTGCCCAAACTGTATTGCAATGAGCACACATCTTCACAGCTGGATGCTTCCAGCCGAGACAATTATGTCTTAACGGCTTTACTTGCACACCCGATGCCTGGCTTTGACAACCAGCTCAGGTGGGCTGGAGCAGGGTGTGGTATAATTCCTGTAAGTGGGATCGTCAAGTGCAGCCTTTGGACCCAGTTGCTACTGCCAAGCTATGTTTCCACTGTCACTGGCGATCAGATTTTTGTTGTCCCAGGAATGGCCTAGCTCTCGGGTTAATAGCATGATCTGGGTCCATGTCAGAATGACAATATTTATTTATACTGGAGGAATCTAATGAGCTATAAAGCTCTTTTTCGCAGATGTCCAGTAGTACCCGTGCTCCACGACGCTCTGTGGTCTCGGCCCATTCCTCATCGGCCCCCCTCGCTTCTTCATCACCCTCCGTTGACAGGGAATAAGGGGTTGGGAAGAAATCTAACGAAATTTTTTATATATAATTAACACAGGCCCGTGTTTATTAACATTATTGAGTAAATAAATGTATTACTTTACTGATGATTCAGTTAATTTTTGGGGAAGGCCATGTAATGATCTGGCAAAATGTGTCGTCAAGATCGTTCACCACCCAATGCAGCCAAATTAAATTGCGAGAATCATTCTTAAAATTACCAATGAGCTAAAACAACAATTTGCACGTTAACGCTTGTACACGTGACATTTTCTTTGGCCGTTTCAGGTCATGCAGGATCTTAACATAAATATTGCCGGAAAAATACGTGGCTAACCCAAAAATCAACTATGAATCATATTGGCTGTAAAAAAACCTACATATTAAGTTTACTTTAGTGATGTCCTTGAAGCTGAACTAACCGAGGGGAGTCATCGAGTGTGCGTCCCATTCCCGCATTGCTCCCACTGTGGCAGTAGTTACTCTGGGCTCGGCACGGGTGAAGAGTGGAGCACGTGGAGCGCGTGAAGCACACGGGGACCTGGGTGGGCCTAGCAGCACCGCTCTGGGAGTGTGGGTATGTGGGGTGAGCCCACTTTGACGAGTGAGATGCAGCACTTCACAGTGATCCCCAGTTTCAGGGCTGACTTCATAGTGACAGTTCACAGGTCACTGCGGCATGGAGATTGTGGGTGGTGGAACATCGCCACCTCCTCCAGTCACTGAACCGTGTTTAAAGTAACACGAGACCTGATCAAAATACAATATTGTAAGAGGATTTTGTATTTTAGAAACAGTAGGGGAAACACTATTACATTCAATTTTGTAGAAAAATAAACATTTTAGATCATCAAATATAGATGTTGCCTGACCACTGGCCCTGCTCAGCAAAGGTGCAGTGGGGGTGGCTCACTGGGTCACAAGGTGACCAGGAGGGAGTGTGGACAGAGAGGGCCAATGTGGATGAGTGGACGGGGAGGCACAAAGGCCCCACAGTTCATAGCAACATGGGTTGGCCCTGCCTGTACACTATTTGGTCTCCTGTTTGGAACAGCTTTATGCCGCTTTAATGAGAAGCAGGATTGTCACAATCACGCTCAAGTGGCATCACTGCTTTGTGGCTGCACCACTGCACTGACATCACTGGAGTACTTTTTGAAATACATTTGTTTTGTAATTGACAACAGTTTACACCGTTGTCAAGTCTCAGCAATAAAATGCAAACCACTCTCAAGACGCTGTACAATTTAGTGGGGCATGTATCATGGGGAACGAGGAAGTGGATATATATAGTATACATTTTTGCCTAGAATAGAGATTCAGTTCTGGGCAGACAAGAAAGACAGCAATATGGAGGACTGGCTACGTACAGTGCGAAAGAAGTTCAACATACAGACCACAGGGGCAGCAGAGGAGAAGGAGCGACTTGACAATGTGCGAGGGTTGACTGAGGGCTTCAATAAAACTTCGTAGTTGCTGGATTGGAGAGCACGAGAAGGGAAGAGAGAGATGACATGACAGACAGGTGGGGGCGAGTCTTCGAAGGATTTCTACAAGGGTTGTGGTGATCTTGAAGTTGCTCTGGGACTGCACTGGGAACCAATGGAGGGAGTGAAGTATTGGGTTGATGTGGTGTTGCGTGTATCTGCAAGGCAGCTGTTTGCGTCTTAGGTTGCGTATGCCATTTAATGGCAGCTTGCTGGTTCAGGGTCAGTAGGCCAGCACTTTCCAGCCTGGGGTGCTGAAGCAGCAGGCCAGGTGCAGGGAGAGCGCCGGCTGTCCGAGCGGCCAGTCAACCAGCACCTCCCGGCGGCCACAGCCGATGGCGACGCGCAGCTTGCAGGGCGCGACGCGCTCGCTGTCGAACGTTACGGCTGATCCGGTCGTCAGCGGCGGAAGCTGGTTAATCATCTCCCTGCCGTTGACAAACACCGCTCCTGTGGCCAGCACAGGACGTTATCAGTGGACTTATCAGTGGACGCAGTGACATGGCAAATACAATTTGGAATTACACATCGTTGACACAAGACTACATCTGAAGACACGGTATAATAAAGCAAGGCAAGTGAAGCTTGGGAGCTGGAGTCAGAATTCTACATTTCCATGGTGACGCCAACCCTCTCTATAAGGAAGACCATTGTTGACATGACGAAATGGTACTGACTTGATCTACCCTTGCAGGCTAAGTCGACCCCTGACAACACTGTGTAACATTTTTTTTGTTCCTGGGTATTAAGTGTTATTTCCTAATTACTTATGCCTCAAAAGTACAGAAAATGGATATTATTCCCCACAAACTTTGCTTTTGTGACCAGGACAGTGATATTTAGAAATTTACCTATTTTCCAGAACATTACAGATAGATTCAGTGCTGAGTACACTTGGAGTAACTTCTAGAACATTCTAGAACTTTCCAGTAATAGTCGTATAAATACCAGTTCAGTTTAGCTGCCTAAGTGAATACATGTCTGCATTTTTCTGAGATGGCATCAAGAGGCTGCAAGTTTCCGGCAGACATATTTTGCTATGTATGCGACCAATTTATCAAGACATGAGGGAAAAAAGTACTCTGTGGAAGCATCTGCTAAGATGTGTGAGGCCTACAAAGGCATATTTCAGTATGCCTGTCAGGGATCAAGACATCAGATCTTATTTATTCACGATGTACTTACAAAAAAATCAGCAGACTACCTGCTGGATCTCCTCACTGTTTCGAAGAACAAATGTGACCTAAGGTCTTCGCTCATTTACCAGCTTCACATTCCTTATTGCCGTACAAATACTGGAGGAAGGGCCTTTTCTATTGATGCCCCCAGGGTTTGGAATGCTATCACCAATAAACTGCAACTTGGACCACTACCTGTGAGATCTTCACTCAAAACTGCTCTAGAGGAGTTGTACACACCTAGTTGCCACTGATATTCAGAATGGCCTGAAATCAAATGTATCATTCCCGATGATCGCTGCAAAGTATGATCTTGAGTTTTGATTGTGGGGTGCTGATCTTTAAAGGTGTATTGAGAAATTGATTCTGCTACTGATACTCCTGCTGTTATGGAGTGACTCATGCAGCCAGCTATGGCTGCGGGGTTTGGTCGTACATGTTATGTATATCGTTTGTTGTTGGATTTGAATCACAGTTCCTATGATCACTGTTACATTGTTTTTGTGGCTTTATTTTGAGGATGGTTTGGTCTGGCCATGTTTGTTTGTTGTAGTACAGAGTTGGCCTGACGACTTTAATCTACATTGTCTTATGGTTATCGTTTGACTTGCAGCCCACTGGGATTTTTTCACACAGCGTTGAAATGCGGTGTTTTTCCTGGAAAGATTTTTTTGTTGCGTGTAGTCACTTTAAGATGTTTCTTGTTCATGTTTTTGTTTGTTGCGGTTGCACCCGAGTCAAGAGCAGCATGGCTCACAGGGTTATACCTAATAAATTAAAACTGAAAAAACTGAAGCCTGCGAGCAATGCAAAAAAACTCTGGAAGGTAAGATGGACAATTGTTGCTCGGAATTTTATGTTGTAGTACCGTAGATGGGCCGCACTTTCCGACTGTGGTAGACGGGGTCCAAGAGGGGAGGGGGCTGCTGGGGGCTCAGGACCCCAGACAGCTAAGCCCCTCGACGCTCCCAACGGGGGGGGCGGGGGGCTGCGGGGGTTCTGGGATCCCATGCAACCCCACCCCTCGATGGGCAAGGGGCATAAAAGGGCACCTCCCCAGCCGATCGGGGTCAGTCGCCGACCGAAGAACCAAGACCAGCCAGCTTAGGACCCCCTCGCCCCGCTGTCCTTGTAAGGGCCGGGACCCTGTGTGGGCCAGTGGTGAGATTCTGAGACTCCTGGCCCGATGCCCTTGTAAGGGCAAGGTCCGAGGAAGTCAGAGGTCTAGACCCGCACCTTGGCTGGGTCGGGTCAGGTAGCCTCCCCTAGGGTAATCATAGCCGGAGGACCCAAGAGCGTAGCCAGTGTCAGGCACGCTAGAAGTAGGCTGTGTCCCTAGGCTGAAACAGGACTGTTGGCGTGGTTTGTTGTAATAAAGAGTCGCCTCTACAAGTGTCTCCGGAACCCATTACAATGTTATAAAATGTATTACAAAATTTTTAATTCTAAAAGTTTTTAATTTAAAAATGTTTTACAATTTTTAATGTTATTGAAAAAATATATCATGTATGAAAGATGTTGCAAGAATCTCTGACACATTAGTCATGGGTAAAATAAATGTATTTTTGTAGGATGGTACAGAGGGGAAAAGATAGCCATAAAGTTCGCTATCCCAAGAATTTGGTGGGAACCCACTGACCACTCAAGCAACCGCTACTTCTGCATGGTGGACCCTCCCAAACGTCGGACTGGCAATAATGCACCTACTATCACGTGTCCGGACCTTCCTTCATCCATTGCCCCAGTGCCACACTGCCATGAGCTCCCCGTACCCACTCCTCCGGAGAGCAGCCGTCTTTAGAAGAGAGCAGCATGTCAGAGAGCGAGGAAAACGTACATCCAGATGACAATTTCAGAGGTGGAGCTGAGGAGAGAAACCCATACTACCCCAACCAAAAAGAGCTCAACGACTTGATCAGAGATCTTGGTCTCACCATGTCCAATGGCGAGCTTTTGACATCTAGGCTCAAGCAGTGGAACTTGTTGGATGAAAGTGTGCAAGTCGCAGATCAGAGGAAGCGTCAGCAACCTTTTTGCAGCTTCTTCACCTGTCAAGATGGGCTCTGCTTCTACCACAATGTGACCAGTCTGTTCGAGGCAATCGGAATCGCCTGTAACCAGAATGAGTGGCGCCTCTTCATTGACAGCTTATCCAGGAGCCTCAAAGCCGTGCTGCTCCATAATGGTAACAAGTACCCGTCTCTACCCCTGGCTCACTCGGTGCACCTCAAAGAGGATTACAACAGCATCAAGACCTTGCTGGATGCCTTAAAGTATGATGAGTATGGCTGGGAGGTCATCGGAGACTTCTAAATGGTGGCATTCCTGATGGGTCTCCAAGGCGGTTTTACCAGTTTCCCTGCTATCTTTGCCTTTGGGACAGCAGGGACACCAAGGCGCACTACCACAGGCAGGACTGGCCACAGCGAACCAAGTTCTCTGTGGGGAGGAACAACGTCAAGTGGGAGCCACTGGTGGACCCCCGGCAGGTGCTGATGCCACCATTGCAGATCAAATTGGGCCTTATGAAACAATTTGTCAAGACTGTAGATAAGGAGTCAGCAGCCTTCAAGTACCTTCAAGACTTCTTCGCTAAGCTGTCTGAGGCAAAAATCAAAGCCGGTGTCTTCATCGGACCACAGATAAAGATCCTGGAGTGAATTAATTCCCAAAGAAGCTTACTAGTAAGGAGAAAGCGGCTTGGAACAGCTTTGTCGCACCATTGGAACCTCCTTTGCCAGTAGCAAAATATGATAATAGTTTGTTTACCCTCTGGCAACAAAACTGACACCTTTTTTACAAGGAGTCATGTTTGCATTGACCACAATACCTGTCCTCAAGGACATTGCATACATTATCAGAGTTGTGTGTTTTGTTTGCATTCTGACTGCAGGTATTGTGGTCAATGCAAACATGACTCCTTGTAAAAAAAGGTGTCAGTTTTGTTGCCAGATAAAAGGGTACATAAACAATTATCAGCTTTGTCGCAGTGGTTCGTGGCTTCCTGGGCAATCACAAGGTCGAAAACTATGTGGAGCTGGTTGAGACTCTGGTGAAGAACTGCGGCATAATGGGCTGTAGGATGTCCCTCAAAGTCCATATCCTTGATGCTCATCTTGATAAATTCAAGGAGAACATGAGAGCGTACTCGGAGAAGCAAGGCGAGCGCTTCCACCAGGATATACTGGACTTTGAACGCCGCTACCAAGGACAGTATAACGAGAACATGATGGGAGACTACATTTGGGGGCTGATTCGTGAAAGTGGTTTACAGTATAATCGTAAATCTTGATAAACTACTCACTTGTAAATCTTATGTAGTCATTTTTGTATTACTTTAGTATAATTACATGTTAATTGTAATTCATATGTTGTTTTTTTCTGACTTTATGTGAACAAAAATAAACAAATTCGCCCGTTTCTCATTGAAAATAGGTAAATTTCTAAATATCACTGTCCTGGTCACAAAAGCAAAGTTTGTGGGGAATAATAGCCATTTTCTATACTTTTTAGGCATAAGCAATTACGAAATAACACATTACCCAGGTACAAAAATTGTGTTACAGTGTGGAATCTGCTTCACCCAGCCAGACTTATCCTCGTCGATAGGATGTCGCCCTCTAGGGGAAGGCTGTCGGCGTCGCACAAACCGTTGGTGGCGATGCAGATAGCCCCGTCCCTCTGCAGGGAGTCCAGATCGCTGGGGGAGCCGACGCTCAGCCCCACACCGTCGCGCTGGTCTGTGGCTCCCACCGCCTCAATTCTAAACAGCAGTAGCAGCACCCATTGAAGTAACCATGATATCACCACAGCACTTGTGCCAGGCTAGGTGCACTCGAGTATTTTGAAGTTAAAATATATTTGGCAATTAGAGGATGACATGGCCATGATGAAAAAAGAAAAATAGGCTTTACCCATTCTTAATACTGGCAAAAGGTCCCATAGATATAAATGCTCAGCCCGAGCTATTAATACACTGATACTTGCATTGCCTTTTGGCGTTCTCTGGTCCAACGCTGGTGAGACAATGCCATAAAGAAGGCTGTCTCTAGTAGAGGCCAATCAGTTTCAAGGACAATGCTGATATTATCAGAGCATGTTTGTTTGCATGTTTTGCCACATTGTATGTGTGATTAATGCAGACTTGACGCCTTGCACTAGGTATCTATTTGGTGTTTGAACATCTCAACACCTATTTTATTGCCAGAAAGAGTAAAAGTATTTTCTTATTTTTTCATCATTTTGATACTGGCAAAAAAATGTCCCATAGAGGCTATATTTGTATTTGCAGTGCGCATGTGCGGCGCTCACCGGAACGTGGCCGTCTCCCCGCAGGTGAGGCTGGCCTCCCTCGTGTAGAGCACGGGGCTCGCGTCTGCAGCGCATGTCCTCAGCGCCATGTTGCGCCGGCTGCTCAGGCTGAAGCCATCGTTGCCTTGCGTCCACTCTGGTGACGAGAAAGGCAGTGGAGTCTTGAGGCTCGCTTTCGCCAACGTCGTGCCGTAGGGTGATTGGAGTGGCGCAGGTCTTCACCGCTCGCACGCCTAACAAGCCCTGGTTCCAGCCTGGTGGACCGCAGATCCTAACGAAGCTCTGGGTCACCCATGCAATGCAGTTTCATGAAGGATTGTAATTTATAAAAATCAGATATCACTCGACCGTAGTTGATTCCCAGTCACAAGTAACATCAGTGGTGAGCGATGTCCGAAATTATCCTGTGCCCCCCACCCCCTATCACCAAGTTGTAGTGACCATTGTGGTAAAGTATGATAAAACAACAACCAGGTGCATGATTATTCTTCAGTGTTTGGGCCGCATCTTCCCGCAGTGCGGTGCCACTGCCGGCGTCCTGCGCTCCGTACCGTAAGGGTGGAGGTGAGTTCTGCCCATCAGTGGAACACTCCAGGGGCTCCACGCAACCTTGGGCCCATGGCGTGCGCACACGCGGAACGTCACGTGGACGCCGGCGTCCACGGGCGCCAGTGCGAACTCGCGCTCGGGCCCTGTGTACGCATCCGTGAAGGTCGGCGCAGGGCCGCCACTGCCCTCGTCGCCGTCCAGCGTGGCCCGACCGCGGCAGAACTGCAGGCGGTACTGCACCGACGCTGTGGCGTCCTCCAGCTGCGTGGAGAGGACAGGAGAGGCGGCGTCGTCAAAAGGTCGCCCATCCGTCCGCTGCTGGATGAAGCCTTCCCACAAACTCTCGCCATCTCTCATGATCCCGCGATGCAAGAAAGCGCCTCGCACTTGCGCAAGAGCCAACTTCATCGTTCCGTGGACGTAATTCCTGGCTCATTCCCGTCACTTAGCTGCTGTTGTCGATAATTTCAACTGCCGGCCATCGTCCCCTCTGGTGACGTGCCCTGCCCAAGCCCACAGATATTCTTCAGTCAAAATGTATGTCTGTATCCTGCATATATTCTCGAATCCACTTGTTCCCCTTTCTGTATCTCATTGTTATTCCAAGCCTGCATCTCTCCATGCTTCTTTGCACACTTTTTAGTTTCTGTTTCATTTCCATCGTTAATATCCGTGTTTCGGATCCATGTCATAGCAGGCAGTGCTCATTAATGAAAAAACGTTCCTTTATGCATTTTAACTATCAAGCTCAGTTTTCCTGAGAACTCCAATCTTCTCTTGTCATCATTTAGATTCTGGTCCACAGTTCTAATATCTTTCACACACACAGACATGTCACTTTTATGAATCTGTAATTCACAGGCAAGTGGTTGGGTTCTAAAAGTTGAACCTATCAGGAACCCTGATAACACCCAGCTTATGAGGCACCGGCACAAGTCCCGCAATGGCTGAACAGGCAGAGGTGGGTACTTGCTTCCTCAATGGGTGTGAAGGGGGATTAGGGCTGCAGCAGACCGCGGTTTCAAATTGTCTCGGCTTACCTTGCCAATGGGGCCAGGACCCTGCTCTGTCAAGATGTCTGGCGTGCAACGGCAACTCCGCATTAAAAGAAATCACGCATGGGCCCCTTCCAAAGAAGGTTTGAGCGGTGACGCAGTGCAGGAGACACTGGTTCCTGCGTGACACGCTAACCACGCTCACCTCGCTCCAGCGCACAAGCACGGCGCCTGGGCGCGCACGCAGCTCCGAGATTTGCACGGGTGCGTGCGTCGCCAGCGAGCCGTGCTCCGCCACGCGACCAGACAGCATCCGCAATAGAGATGCATCCAGCTGCGCCGACAGGCACGGCACGTCCACGAGCAACGGCACCTCCGGTAAGCTGGCAACCAAAGATAAAGACAAAGATCCCCCGTGTAGTCTTAACAGGCTGTTGGGCAAGTGCTGTTCGCGGCACATCACACAGTGGGGTGGGTGGCCAACACCACGCCCGGCCGCCTTTGTCTCCCTAGTGGTGATGTTTACACACCACACCAGGTACACATTTGAGGCAGAGTCGACCTAGAGTAGACCCAGGACCGGTTCAGATAATCGTCACTGGTGTTGACCATGAGCGGGAATTGAACTCAGAGCGGTAGTGTAGTCCTACACTACCGCTCCCAACAAGAAGAACAACATTATCGAAAATTGCTCACTCCATATTCATGTGACAGCGCAGTCACGTGATTGTGGTGCACGAACCTACAACTCATTGATGTGCGTTACTAATGTGAATGGTTCTTCCACACGCAATAATCATGCAAAGTTCAGTGAAACGATGTTCAGTTTTGAATTGCATCCCACCTGTGCAGTTGCATTTGTAGAGATTTTTTGGAAAAGTCCAGAAGAGCTTGATTTCTGTTTTCTGGATCTGTCTGCAATGCCTTTTCTCCTGATGATGAAAAAACTAATTCATTTAAAATGTAGTTACTTGAACATCCATCACCACCACACCGGCAAAGTCGTGACTACCACCGCCTCCACATCAATAAAGCCATCACAAACACCACCACCATCACCAGCACTACGTGAGTGAAGCCATCGTGCGCATCGCTGACCTTCCCACAGCAGCTCCTCAGTGGTGGAGATGCTCCCCTGCAGCAGGCGTTGGCACTCGAGCAGTGGCTGCTGCCCACGATGGCGCAGGGTGTCTACTTGGGAGAGTAGTGCGTCACGCCGCTCTCTAAGACGCGCCGTCAGCTCACGCTCCAGCTCGGAGAAGTGCACCATCAGCTTGGCACTCGTACGCCGCCCGCTCTCCTCCACCTGGCATCGCATGTGGTGTGACATGCGGTGTGACACGCGGGGTGATGAGAGAAGTGCACCTAAAGAAACGGGCTCACGCGATGTTGCTGCTGCTGCTGATGATGCTCATGTTTCTGCTGTTTTAATAAATAGCAGGTGTGCTGCCCACAAACAGGAGATAGGCCACGGCTCCCATCAGGCCTTGCATGCATGTCAAGCGATCACCACATTGCACATGCAATGCTCTCAGCCTTGTCCGGACAATCATCTCACAAGCTAAATGTGTGGCCTTGTTGTTGTTTAGCCCAACAGCTGAAAGAAGAGTTGAAAAAACTGTCCGTCACAACAGTTGTGATGTATTTTTTTTAAATAATTTTATAGAAAATGTTGCATTTACATGGTATCTGCTGCTGACGATGATGATAGAACTGCTGCTACAGCTGCTGAAGCTTATAACAGAGAGTAGGAAATGACAATGAAAAGATTTACTTATTTACCCAGAAAGCCAGACCGAGTTCGAAAACATTTTCAGGAGGGTCCTGCTGTGCTGAAATGAGCTTGGAAGGTACCTACGACTGGGGTGATCAGCGAGTGAACATGTGTGCGTATGATATGGCTTAAATTTCTGGGAACATAGCACCATCTGCTGCCAGAAAGTGAAAACTGTCTGTCTTTGAAGACAACATTGTTCTCGTAATGACTGCGAGAATAATTCTGCATTGGGCATAAAATATGTAGACATGCATATAAGGGAATAATTCCTAAGATTACGTATTATGTAGTAAACGATAGCATACGTATAAATGTGACGAGATAATATTAATTGTACTGTAGTATAAGTTAGATGGTTATTGTATATGTTTAACTATATATATTATAGGTTATTGCACTACTGAAAATCTATTTTTATAGGAATTAAAAACACATAAGCAGGAAACATATGGAAGAGTCCCCCAGATTAAAACACTGACAGAGGAAGTATAATGGGGAAAGAAGTGACCCATTGGCACGTGGTCACAGACGGATGGTGCGAGGGCGTCATGGACCATATAGCGTCGCACGAGGTCGTATGAGATGCCTGTGTGAAAAAGGCTGCTCGTGTCTATCCCGGGGTGAAGCCAGCACCGCAGCGTGCGAGCGGACTGTGGGGCGTCCCCGACTGACCGCTTATGGGGGGTGACAGCTCCAAAGTCAAAGGCTCGTTTGTGGACATTGAAAAAATAAACCTTTCGAGCAAGTAAACTACAGCCTGTGACAAGTTAATGCGTTAAGGCTGTCAGTGTAAATGTGGTTGTGTGGGTATATTAAATTGCCATTACTCTATTCGTTAGGAGTTGGACTAAATGGTTTTAATCGGTGTGATTGTTATTGGTTTTATCGTTTTTGCACTTTAACAAGTGAAACGTAGCTACTGCGTGGTGTCTGCTCTCACACGCGTGCACCTCACCTACCACAAGCTGCAACCTGGCACCTGCATTGGGATGTTTATCCAACACCAATACATTTCGTGCTTTTAAGCTATGACAGAAAACAGAACCCAGAGGAAACCCCATGCAGAACAGGGGAAGAACATACAAACTCCACGCAAAAAGGCACCCAAATCAGGAATCGTGAACCAAAGTCCTTCTTGCTGTGAGGCACAAGTGGTACGAATCTACTGCTATTCTTCTTTCGTATGGATTACATTTGTGTGGCAATCATGTATTGCTATCCAAGCTCGAAATCCAGTCAAAAGCTTTTATAAGATAGTAAATGTATTCCCCACAATCTTCCTGAGAATGCGTATCGCGGGCACGAGTTTACCAAGTGATCAATTGTTCGATTCGGTACTCTGCAGTAAAACAGTGGAATTTATTTCATCAGCCCTGATAATGCAACACCCCTGATAATGACGTTAGTGATGATGATGATGGTGGTGGTGTGCCCCTGCACCTGATTGATGGCTCTCTGCAGTTCGCTCATTCGGCACTGAAGCTCCTGCTGGTAGTGGCGTGCAGCCTCGATGCTCTCCTGAGTCTCACGGTGGAGCTCCATTCCAGGGCTCTGCTCCGCCACAGGATCGCGAGCTTTCCCGTGTGGGCTCCGAGGCCTGTGCCAAACACACACACACTCAGCAATTCGTTCCCTGCACAAGAGGTTTGGAGTTGTACTGTTTCAAGGAAGAAATTGGCAACCGTCCAAATGAACCGGGGTTTTCAGTGATCAAATATTACATTTTACAGGTCATTTATTCAGCATTGCATTTTCAAGCGGAGTCTTAATGTTTGATGAACAGAATGTGAGGAGAGAACACACAGACATTTCAAAACAAATATTATAAGCGCCTATACAGTACTTATCAAAATCACACTTCAGACTATACTCGCACCATAACAAAGGGAAATGTGAATATATTGTAACCGACACTACTGTCATGTGGCGACAGCGTATCACCTAGTTCGACTTATTTTGTAAAATGTATTTTGGTTCTTAATGTAATCTTAGTGTGGCGGTGTGCTAAGTGTATTTATTGTTGCATTGCCTGAGTGTGAGAGGCAGTGGCAGTTTTGGGAGGTCTTCATCTAGCAGTGGATTGACCATCTGCTCCAAATAAAAAAGGCAATTTTGCATGTATTCCAGAAACCACTGAAAACGCCTGTGCAACGAGTTACAAGAACTTGCTTAACTTTTTCATGCTGCAGCGAATCATAATGCTGCAACTTTAATAAGTGTCAAACCTATTAATTAGCCATTCCACTGTACTTGATGCGCAGTGACCTGCCCGAGGCTCACAGAGTACCGATCTCTGTCGCCGTCTTTGCTCCAGCAACCCCTGCGTTCCCTGTCTTCCAGAAGGAACGTGGGAGGGAGGTCACCCACCCATTCTCCTCTGTTTTGTGATTCTGACTGTGCAACAACCTTGCTGTGTAATGCTTGTACCTATGCCCCTCTCCTGTTTAAATGCAGTCTAATGGCCCATCACACTTTGCCTGCTGTCAGTGATGGAGTCTGTTGAACGCCCCTTGATATGTCAGTCTCGTTATTTTATTGTGCAATTCGTGGCGAGTTTAATGATGTGCACGCAGGGCACTCATCTCTTTATTCGTACTAAACACTTATCAACTTCATGAACTACGACCGCATGCAGCATGCGCGACACAACGCACTTGCGTTTACTGTGTGATGTAGAATTTCACCACTACTTACCATAGTACTTTGTTCAGTATCCCTGAACGTAAACCCGAGGCTAGAATATGTTACACAGTGGAGCAGTGCCTATGGGTGCGAGTACTGTAGCCCCTTCTCACGACAGGGTGGTCCAGATATCTTGTGCCCCAAATGAATTGACCCCTAACATATATTTTTTCTTTGCATACATCCATTTCTGTTTAGAATAAACCTTACTTTAAACATTTTAAGTTTTAGAGAATGAAATGCAAGGGTGGTGGTCACAAGACATCTGCACCACCCTGTACAGGCCTGGCTGTACAGCGACACGACCACGGTATTCATCACAGCACCCCACCACTGCACAGGCGACGGTAGGAGCTCATGAATACTACGTGAAGCGTTGTCATGCATGTGTAGTGGCATAGCGCTGGCTGCTGGCTTTAAAGGGGGTCCTGCGGCGTACGGCAGTCCTGACGTCAGCAGGCCGGGGTAGACGCGAGAGGGGGTCTCGGGGAAAGGTCACGGAAGGGGCCCACCAGGAACCCGCTGGGAGGTTCCAGAAAGGGGGCGTGGCCGGGGGCGGAGCGACGCCACGCTGACAGTATATAAGAGGGGCCCCCCAGTGGGGGCCTCAGGACTGTTGTGTGGAGTGGGATCCCCGTCATCGTCTCCGATAGTCAGGCAGCCTACCAACTGCCCTGGCTGGGTAGCGTCGCCGATGATAGACGGAATAAATATTAAAGTGTGTTAACCCCGATGGTGCTTGTTAATAAATAAGTGCCTCCAAGTCTTATCGTCTCCGAATTAGTCGCTACACATGGAAGAGTAGGAATACATTAAACTCGATCACACATTGATTCATAATTGATTTACGGTGCTAGGCCACATTTGTGCCGTGAATACCTTCCACTTACCCACGCATTTAGAGTTCGTGTTATTCTATAGACAACGTAATTGGTACTTAGTGACGTGTGTTTTGCCCCTTATAAGAATCGCGTGGAATTCATCCTATCTCAGAAGCTCATGAAGTTTGAGCCAGAAGAGTGCTTTGATGTGGAACGCGGTGCCCAACTAGTTGCTATCATAGGGTGCGAGGCTACGCCGTGGGCAGCGCTGAAAATACAAATCAATCGCATTGTACGCATGTTCTCGCGTCCACCAACCCGCAGTGACCAACGTGGTGAAGTATGGTCAAACCACAATGCTCACGACCCGCACGGCGTGGGCGAGACACCCATCCGGCTTTTGACTAAAGGGCCGTGCCGTGGTGATGGTAAGCGGTGGTGGTCATGGTGAGTGATGGTGAATGGTGGTGGTCATGGTGAGTGGTGGTGGTGATGAGGAGGGTGCGTGCGACCCGCCGAGTCCGCCACTCAATCACTGCCAACAACTTTAACGTTACAACTCAGTCTTTAATGTTACAACCGAAGTCCACAGCGGTGCCCTTCAAAGTAAACATTAACAAGCACACGAACAATCACAGTTATGGACATACATCATTACCACATTATATCCATCTAAGTATGAAAATGTGAAATCAAAACTCTCACCAACGCTTGACAGCAAGCTCGGTCTATTGCATTGCCCAACGCGCGACCAGATTCCCCAGCGCGCACCGGTACGGCGGCGTCTCCTATTGGTCCCCGCGAGCGCGTGTCGCGGCTCTTGTCCAATCACGTCGCGTGTTTGGCGCATCCGCGTCCGAAATCTAAACGAGGCGTGTGACCTGTTTAGGTGGGGCGGGTCGAGCGCGAGCGAATCGGACCAATCACAACCGACAGAGCGAGCGATGACGTCATCCGGAAACTCCGATCACGCCGGGGTTGAAATGGATGACGTAACTGTAAACTTATTGCGCGGTGACGTCACTCGCGGAGCGATCTTATTCGCGACGCAATGACGTAAAATTTGTAAACATTGAAAGTGACGTCATTTACAAATGCGATGACGTCGGGGTCAAGGAGGCTGAGTGGGTGGGGATGGTCACGGTTTTGGCGCCATTTCTGCAAACGTGAATTCTCCCGCGCTGCGGCGGCGCGAGTTGTGATCGTAATGACCGAGTGGCCGAGCGATCGAGTGACCCAGTGACCTCGGTTCATTAGCGAGTGCTGCGACTACCATCGCGTGCGGCTCGCTGCACAGCGAATGTGAGTCCTGTACAACCCCGCCGCATCGACCGTGAGCAGCACGCAAACACATCTCTGTTGTTGGATGCGGCTGTGTATTCTTTGTGCATGCGTTAGCAGTGTGTGTTAGTGTCCGCTAATGCTTGTCGTTAACGCGCCCCAGTGTGATGAATGAGCTGGGATTTGTCCTCTCGCGGTGACGGCAGAGAGCGGTTGTCGGCTTCGAGACGAGCGCGGTTCTTAGATGTTGGGAGCGATCGCTCCACTATGCACGACAACCACCGCGATCCACCTTGTGGACTGTACAAGTGCGATATTTGACGTGTATCGGTCCTTGCCAATTTCATCGGCATTGGTTTAAACGAGCCTCACTGCTGAATGTCAAAACGCCGATCATGGATTGTGCGTGTAAAGTGTTTTACCAATGCTGCTCAAAAGTGTGCTTCCAGAAGGCTTTGCTGGCCGATGGGATGTGTAAAACGTGCATTTATGTTTTTGTGTCAAGACAAATGGGAACGTATTGTCAACGTATTTATACAGCAACTTGTATGAATGCTAAATTATGCAGCCGTATGTATTGTAAGTACATGCACATGTGTTTATGAGCATGTGAGAGGCCATTGAGACAAGTCTATTGGAGCAAAAAAAACACCAATAGCAGCATGCAGCTGTTGCACAGTCGACACTGCAACTGCAGAGTCTAACTTTTAAAGTTACGTGGCTGTCGGTCTCGGTGATTTCATGCTTAAGTCAGCATTAAGGTGGTCCTCATCGGTAGACATTACACGTTCTTATGGCGGGGGTGAGTGTCCATAGGACAGCCACAAAATGGTACTCGTTGTATTTACAACAGAGGGATATTGGGCAGAATCAACCCCAGCCAGGATTCGAACTCACAACCTTCAGATTGCGAGTCGCTCACAAACACTTATTAATATTAACCAGATATCCCAATACAGGGCCTCCTATGGAGAGCTGTCTGACTCGGTGAGACTTGTATGCATCAATTGCCCGATGATGCTGGATGTAATTACCAGCGAAACGTCGTACTCAAACTGTAAATGTTGTGGATTCACTCTTCAACACAACGGTGGGCTAAAGTAGTGAATTATTTGTCTTTTGTCAACGTGACACTTTTTTTGCTGATTGGCCGTGTCGGGTGGTGGAGGGTTACGACACATTTATAAATAACGCGATCTAACACAAAAACCTTTATTATGAATAATATTGGTCGCGAAAGCCTACGTGTTAAACTGTATTACATAATTATTATTAGAATTATGATATACTGCTTTGGTTTACTGTAGTGTTTAATATTGTTGTACCTGTTGAGAACCTTACATGAGTGTTTGCTGTGCTGACCCAGGGTGATCCAGGACATCATGGTGGGTGCTTTGGCTATGGAGTCAGTGGTTGAAGACTATGGACATCAGGTAGAGGCGACCGTGTGGTGGTGTAGCATGGCTTATCTTTGTGTAGTTATGTTTGTGGCAGAGCTGAAAGAGGTGCTTTCTACAGAACTGATCAACTATCCATGTTAGACCTGCAGTTATGCATCGGTTCATCAACTAAAAATGAAACTTACAGTACGTGTGTAATGACAGGGTGCCATCTGTTGGCCAGGAGGGATAATCACGGGTATGGGTGCGTTATTTCATAGCCAACTATAAGGGGGCGTAACTGGGCTAAAAGTTAAAGGCGGGTTCAGTCGGGAAGCTCCGTGGAACCTGCTCGAAGGTTCTAGAAGGGGGCGTGGCCAGAGGCGGGGCCTGGCCATGCCGAGGAGTATATAAGGGGGACGGGACCAGAGGTTCGGGGCTGTCGTGGGGTCCTGGTCCTGGCTGCCGTCGCTGTCTTCGCCGTCATCTCTTCTTCATCGTCCGGCCGCATGGCCGATCCGCTGTACGGCTCCTATCGTTGTCATCGCTATATTAGTCATCCAGCAATATAGTTCGCCCTATGTATATATATGATCCTTATGGTGGTACCCCGGGGTACCAAATTATACAAAATGGCCGAGGCAATTAAATATTTTATTTCTGGGACACGATTTTGCCAGGGGTGTACTTAACTCCACAACTGGGGTACCAATAAATCCGAAATCGGTGCTACTCCGCGATGTCGAAACGCCAAACAGCATAAAAAATTCGTTATCGAAAAATTCAACTTTGAAGAGTGCATCGTGTACAGCTCGTCAAGATGAGTCAATTGCCGCATCGCCGACCATCAGATTAAAAATTACTGAATCACGGACATTAAGCGAGAGCCGGGGTACTTTTTTACCCCGGGTTTCCGCCATATGGTTCACTTGTCGCTCAGTAATTGTCGTGTCTGGAAGTTGCTCATTACACGTGCATAAAATTGTGCAGCGTAGGAATATGTTCTCCATCCATATATACGTTTTCCTATTCTTTGGGTCTTTCGGTTAAGTCAGGTAGATAAAACAATAAAATAATAAAAATAAAGTGAATAAAAAAGAAAAAATATCACGACGTTTTGATCGCAACACAAGCAGTCGTCTTCTCCTGATGACGATCTCCTGATGACGATTGCTTGTGTTGCGATCAAAACGTCGTGATATTTTATTATTATTTTGTATTAACTTTATTTTTATAATTTTATTGTTCTATCTACGTGACTTTACCGAAAGACCAAAATAATATTAATTCCTGCAGTCACGAAAGCTTTAAGTCAAGGTTTCATATATACGTTGTATGTAATTAGTTCACATGAATGCTGCATTATGGGGAGGGGCTACATTCGCCGCAGTGGCATTAAAATTTGATTACTGAATCAAATCGTGACAATTCATTGAATTCCAAGGTGTTGCATCACTGTTTGCCCAATGTGCAACATAGTGTGAATGGTCGGATGGGAATGTCAGTGAAGGGGGATAAGTTGAGGGGGATGCAGTCGACAAGGGAGAATAATCCAGTTTAACCACAGGCTCCAAAACCCAGGTTCGAACCCAGAATCTCAATGGTGCCTGCATGGTGCTTTGACCATGGCCATTATCAGTTGCCTAGTGTCTGCGAGTGAGTTGAGTGATTTTATTCTTTCCCTGATGTGTGAAGCGAGCACAGCAAGAGTGTAAGAAGAGCCGGAGTGACTCGGACGACAGAGTCGTGCGTCCCCGCGCCATCACCAGTTACTTCACTCCCCTGCGGCGCCAGCAGGACGATGCGGCAGAGGCGGGGGTGACATCTGTGCCGCGTCCCGCCGATCTGCTCGGATACTTCCCCAGGGTGGAGAGGGCTTCCTCTGCAGAGGGGAAGAGCGGCAGGGCCGATGGCAAGAAGGTCACACACGCTGTGATGAAGAATCGAGGTAAATTTGAGCACCTGTACAGTCATATTAATGACCATAATCATCCTTGATCAATCCGCTGCTGGATGAAGGTCTTCCCATGCCAATTTCATTGTGTATATAAGTGAACTGCATTTTGTAGTTGATTGATGATTGAATAGTCACATGACAACATCACTATAGTAGTTTATCTGAGTATTTAACTGTTATTTTGTTCAATAGTAACAGCTAAACTAAGATCAAGCAGATATTGTAACTTTATATGTAATTGTTTGGACATGTCTAGATGAAAGTAGGAGGAAGAAAGATGATGTGGAAGAATCGGCGAAGGAGAAACGTCAAAGTGAGGGCGGTCGTGCAAGATTGTCCAGGAGAAAAGCTGCGGCTTTGGCCAGCAATGGCGGTTCTAGCTCCACAAACAAACCTGTGAGAAACAGCCCGAAGATGGACATCCTGCTCCTCTCCGACAGCTCCTCAAGTCAGGACACCGTCTTGAAACCGATCGAGTTTGGCGTCGACTCGGCCCTAGTAGAAATGGCCGAGTCGGTGGAAGTGAAGCATTGCTCAGTGGACACCAAAGCCGTCGATTCCTCCGCTCGACGAACCGAATCGGTTGAGGAAGACAGCAGCGGTGCAGCCGACAGGAGCACGCTCAACACCTCGCTGGAGGTAAATGTGACTTCTCTGTCTAGCGAGCAGGAGGAACTAATGACCATCTCCTACGAAGACTTTATCATTAGCTGCCAACAATCTGAAGACGGGATTGGGAATGCACCCGATGCGGAAGCTGCTGGTCTTTGTTCATTGTTGGGTGAGGGCTCCGGTGCCGAGTTGAGCGCCGTTGCTGGTGAGGCCGTGCCGGATGTACGGACACCGTCCCCTGCCACGCGAGGTGCGTCGCCCAGACTGGTCACGGTGAGCGTGGAGGTGCACTCCTCTCCCGAGCGCGAGGCACTCGCCACCCCTAGGGAAAGCCCAGCAAAGCAGAAGAGGGTAGCAAATATATTCAACCTGAGCAAGAAGAAGAAGCAGCCCAGCACAGATCTGGTGAGCAGGCCCACGGCTTCGGGAAGAAGCGATCTGTCTAGTAGACAAAGTAAAGCTCTCAAAGGTAATGTCACGGCATCGGGGACACAACGTTTTCCAAACAAACTCGCAGATGATCCGGAATTGAAATGTGTTGCATCTCCTGCCCCGACCGGAGCAGCCGCACATGACGCGGTGATG